CCTTTGAGAACTAAATAAACAATCAGTAATCAAACTCTGTGTAGAGTATTTTGTTGCACGAAGTGGAGACTGTGGGAAAAATAGTAAAAAAAAAATACATTCTCATTTGTCGAGAAACTTCCAGTCTGCTTGGAAGTGTGATTCACTTTACTGCAATATTTGCTGTCTTGGCATGTCTGGAACTGAACCAGCAATATCTTTGAGGTATACCTGTAACTTAATTGTAAATTGAGGCGCAGAGAATTCATGTTTTTCTGACATTCACTTAGATAGGTGGAAGACTTATTATTTGAAGCTAAGTGATCTGGCGGGGTGTAGTGGCATACGCCTATAATCCCAGGCTGAGGCAGAAGGATTGCTTTAGCCCAGGAGTTCAAGGACAGCCTGGGCAACATAGTGAGACCTCATCTCTTAAAAAAATAATTCTGATACTAGGTTGTCTGATCACAGAATCTGCACTATTAATATCTGTGCTATTCTGATTTCATGCGTCAGATGCTTTAGATATGAGTACCAGAAAAAAGGATCTTTGTAGGCACAGTTTGAATCGTTTTCACTTTTTAATTGTGTTTTTGCCATGCACTTGGACATTATTCTTCTACGTTTATGTGTGCCACAGTGATGCATGAATATATGCTTTTCCATTTTGGGGAGATGAAACAATAAAGTCCAGAGATATGGGTCATCTTTAAACAATCACATGTATTACAAATCAAAGGTTTGTGTCAACCTTGCAAGTCTTTCAGTGTCATTTTTTAAACTTTTTTTTTTAACAGCATGTGATTACTTTGTGTTTCTGTGTCACATTTTGGTAATTCTTGTAACATGAACAAAATCTGAGGTATTTCTGTTATTTTTCCTCAGCCTTCAAAGTCTGCTTATTTATTGATAGTCTAAAACAAGGCAAAGATTCAAGTGCCTTTGAGTGTTAGCACCCAAGATATAAAAGCAACGCATTTATTTAGTATTTATTACCTGCTTAGTAATCACTACGTTGCGTAATTGCATGAAATGATCCTCATAATCACCTTCTGAGTAAGGTACTGATATCAAACGCGTTTCATAGACAAAAAAGCTGAGTTTTAAAGAGACTAAATTACTCACCCAAAGCCACATAGAGAGTAAGGTCTAAAGTAATGTTTCTCAACATGTGTTAAAGAGTACTTGCATCAGAATCGTGTGGAGGTTTTAAAAACACAGGTCTCTGTGTCTCTTAAGCCTTCTGACTAAATGCCGTCAGTCTTTGTGTTTGAACATCTCTGTGTTTTAACAAACTCCTCAGCTGAGACGTTTGAGAATCATGTTTATAAATTGCATTCACATTAGTTGAAGAAGGGAAGCTGTGGGAAAGAAATGCAGTTTTTTTCCTGTGATCCTGTCAAAGAGTGCCCCTCCACGCATTCTATAAATACGTCCTCAGTTACTCAGCGAAAACCAAGTACAGGACTGTTAGGAAAAGAACTAGATAAAGCACTTTTATTTGTTGTCCTGTCTACTAGCCCTGTTAAGAAGCGTTTATTGATTTTACAAACCCCATGAGGTTCCTTGCAAACTTTATTTTCTTTCATTTGCACAGAAAATGAAGGTGGACTTGAAAATAGTATTTGTGTAGTGTTTTACTGAATGAGTTATTTCTGATGGACTCTCATGTAATTAGAAGCAAACAGTTCTCTGTCTCTTGTGAGCCAGGAGCTGTGCTTGCTGCTGGCCATGGAATAGTAAATAGAGAAGTCATGTGTCTGCTTCCATGGAGTCTCTGATGTAGTTAACACTCCACAGTTTTATTTTAGGTTGTAGAACTATAAGGTATAAAAGGTGAATGTTACTATCCTATTTTAAATATGAGAAAATGGAAATTAAAGAGGCTACATGACTGGCTCATGCTTGTACTTCAATTAAGTGATCACATTGTCTAAATTATTCTACTGATTCCAAGTTTAGTATTCTTATTATTATCTTATGCTGTCTTTTAGACTGAGATATTTTGCACAGATTTCAAGCTTCGATATTTTGGATAAATTAATTAAGCCCTAACTTTTTTTGTCCTGATTTTAATTTTATATGTGTATATCAGAAGATGCAGTGAATTATTCTATGTTTCTATAATTAGGAACAAAAGACAAGAAGAAAGAAAATTAATGGAAAATAGAGTAACTGGGAAACAAATGATGAACTTCCATGTTGGCTTCTGGATGTTCAAAGAAGGGACTAGGTAAGTGGTTTTGATGGTTAAGTTAATATAAAAATTGATTCCAAGGAGAAGAAAGGATGAAAAAAGCAATTTTATGGCTAGGGATTTCTTCATCCAGATCTTTTATTGTGCAGTCAAGCACTTCTCTGTGATGTCATGTCCATTTCTTTGCATTAAAGTAGTTGATCGAATTTTGCCATGCCAGCCTTCCTCTCACACATTAAATAAAGTTTGTTCTTACAGAAAGTAGGATATATTTTCCCATTATGAAAATAAGCACAATTCATATTTTCTTTTCCATCTCCAGAAAGTTCAAACCTGTGAATAGAAAAGGTAGAATAGATTCCTTTGAGAACTAAATAAACAATCAGTAATCAAACTCTGTGTAGAGTATTTTGTTGCACGAAGTGGAGACTGTGGGAAAAATAGTAAAAAAAAAAAATACATTCTCATTGTCGAGAAACTTCCAGTCTGCTTGGAAGTACAGGTATGTACATTTTTTGAAAAGCCCATTAGCAGTTTCATACAGCATGAGATTACGGAGTAGGCGAACACTGAGTACAATAAGAGGTCACAGGAAGAGGGGGGATATGGCTCTGAAATGATGGGAAAAGGCTTTGTCTACAAGATCAGACTTTAATTCAATATTGAAGAAAGAGCAGGATTTAGAGGAACAGAGAGGAGATAGGAGAGCCCTGTAGGGCAAGTAACTATAGAGGAGGGGAATAAGCTCAGGGAAAAGTAAATTGATTAAATATTTTTGAACTGAGAATTTATGTTATAGGGTGGTAGATCTAAGACAGCACACTGTATTGTAATTGCCTGTTAACTTGTCTATATTCCCTGCTAGACTGATTCCAACTAGAGGACAAGGAATACATACTTATTACTTTATTTGCCAAATATCTACAGAACACCAACTATGTGCCAATGTTGTTCTACATGGTAAGAATAGATTGATTAAAAAGAAAAAGACAAGGTTGGCCAGGCATGGTGGCTCACGCCTATAATCCCAGCACTTTGGGAGGCCAAGGTGGGAGGATTGCTTCAGGCTAGGAGTTTGAGACTAGCCTGGGCAACACAGTGAGACCCCATCTCTACAGAGAATAAGAACAATTAGCCAGGCATGGTGGTGCACCTGTAGTCCCAATCATTTGGGAGACTGGAGCAGGAGGATCGCTTGAGCCCAGGAATTCGAGAGTTCAAAGAGCTATGATTGTGTCACTGCATTCCAGCCTGGGTGACAGAGCAAGACGCTGTCTTTTTAAAAAAAAGAAAGAAAGAAAAGGTCCTTTCTGTTGGGGATTTTATATAACAGTGGGGGTTATTATAAGAAGCTCACAAACAAATAAACAAGAACATTTCAGAGAGTGGTAAGAGTTATGAAGAACAAAACAGTGCGATAGGCTATGGATGAGGGCTGAACGGAGGCTAGTTTAGTTTGGGTGATTAGAGTTGGCCTCACCTGAAGAAGCGAGGTTTAAACAGAGAATGGAGTCATGAGGTGGAGCCAGCCAGGGAGTTGTGAAGACAGAGCATTCTAGAAGAAAGAAGCAGTGAGTACGAAAGCCTTAAGACAACACCACAATTTTGATTTGTTGAAAGAAGAGAGAGAACGCCAATTTTTCTGCTACACTGTGAAGGAGGCAGCAAGTGATGGGTGACAAAGCCCAGGGTCTGTGAAGGGGCTTGCTGTGGTTGCAGTATCTGGGCTCCACCTACGTAGTGAATACTTAGTAGGGATTTGTTGAATATCTTGATAAATAATTTAGGTAATTATCACATTGTGTACAAGTTTTGGCTATCAGTTTCAGGTTTTATAGGAGAAAGATTGCAGTTTTGATACAAAGTGAACAAAAGGGGTTGAGACTGGAGATTGGAAAGCCATAGTAAACCACACAACTCTTAACACGATCCGCCCCTTTGGCTGCATTGTCCGTAGAAGGATGGAGCCGCCTTTCATGGAAACTGGAATTTTCTTGTAAACTACAATGTACCTAACTCTTGGAGTGCATAAAAGAGTAGGCAAAATGATACAGAAAAGTCGAAGTAAAAGTCAAAGTAATAACTTTCAATGATAAAATGAGGATGAAAATTTTGTTCTAAAATATGTGGAGACAATCAGAGCAAGTTAAACACACACACACACACACACACACACACACACACACACACAAGCACGATGTTCCAGCGGTAAAGTTGAATGTAGAAATGAGTTGAAAAAATATCAAGAATAAAAGTGGATTGTGGCTTGGCTAAGTACAGAAGGATAGGAGGGATGGAAAGTAGAATTGTCTTCTTACCAGTGTTCTCTCGCTAGAAGTAGGATGTGAGTGACTCAGCTGCTGCTTATATAACACATAGCAGGGTATAGAGACACCTCCCAGCTTTTAAGTAACTTGTACTCAAGAGGAAAGAGGATCTCAGGAATATAAATTCCTAGTAGTGCCTTCTATTCTGAGCGTCCAGTGACTTACATATTTTTGGAGAGAACTGAGCCATCTTCCCACCTCCAGACGTCATCAGAGTTCTGGCGGGATAATCCAATCCAACGAATTAAACTAGTCCTGGTTTTGAGGTATTGCTATTGCAGACATAAATAAATACGATGGTCAGAATGCCTCCACAGTTGTTGTTAATGACATAAAGACAAGGCTTCGTGGTAAGACTTTTGGCAAAAAAGAAAGTTGGATTATATGTATATATTAATATTAATGGATTTGATATTTAAAATTGTACTAAGTTGACTTGTTTTAGAATTAAAAAAAACAGTAAGACACAGGAAAAAAATGTACACAAAATTGCTGATATTATAATCTTATGTGTTTGTAATATATACTTATATCTTCAATTAATTGAAGATTAGATTCCCAAATAGACTACACATTGATTTAAGTGGGATAAATGGTAAATAATTATAGAAGAAAACAAAAAGAAATGCATTGTTGACAAGCTTTATATCCCCTAGAATCAAGCTCTACATGGTTTGGTTTTATTGCTTAGCTTGCCTATAAAATCTTCCATATAGAAGTATTAATTTGTTTCAGTTGATTGGGTAAAGAAGTATATGATGTCTTTCTTAAAGAGATTTACAAATAATGTACATCTACCTTTCCTGATTTACTTTTTTATACTCAGCAATTATCACTATCTACCGTACTTGTTTTGTTCCTTGCCTGTTGCTCCAACTAGAATATAAGCTCCTAAGTTTAAGGATTTTTTTTTTCTGTTTCACTAACTGCATAGGTCCAGGCCCTGGAATAATTCCAGCACATATTTGTCCAATTAATGTATGAATCAGTCAATCAATCAATTTATGGGTAATACAACTAAAAGGAGGCCAAATGCTCATTATACTCTCAGCCCTGCCAGAATAACAGGTGTGAATACATTCCTGGCAAATAGAAGTCCAGACTTGAGCTTCTAGACAGACATTTGAGAGTCAGAATGGCATTGCACAGGAGATATTGTGTGAAAGTCACTTTTGACTGCTTGTTTTTTAAAGCTTGAACCACTGACAACCTTTCTGTTAATTACTGATCTTTTCTTTAAAATATATCCACTTTATATACTTTGCTATAGGACCTGACAGATAAATTCTACCTGAAATTCTACCTGAAATTCAACTATTCTTTATTTCTCAAAAAATTACATTACTTCTTTTAGTTATAAATCTTAAGCCTGGTGTCAGTGTAGGGTAATAAGATTCAGGACATGCTTATATGTCTCCAGTTAATCTTTTTGTAATGGAGTTGAGATTTTAGGGAATTCTCCTATTTTGTCTTAGTGGAAAGAAGAGTTCATTTATTTAACTGAATTTCTTCTCTATAAGTCTGAGCCCACAAAAAGAGAAAGTAGACGGTGCAGCAGGAAAGAATAGCAGGGGATACAGATGGTCGTGAACATCACTGAGCTGACTCCTCAAGTCTGACTCACTGTGTACTTTAGCTCTCAGGAAGGTGCAAGGCAATTTTACTCATCAACTATCGCAATTCTGTAGAATATGACTGGATTGAGTATTTGAGTTCTGTAATTCTTACTAAATTTGATAAGGTTGTTACATTAGCACAAACTGAAAGACATAAAAACAACCCAAAAAGTTCAAATGATACATTTAAAAACTTTTTCCCTATGTCTCCAAAATATTTGACATAGGAATCTCCTTACCAGAATGTTCTGGTTGGCAATCTTCAGGAGAGTAGCATTCATGTCAGTGCAGTACTGCTTACTCTCTTCCCATGTCAAGTTGTGCCTGAAGAATCCATAGCAGCTATCTCCATAATACCTCCAGTTTGTGTCACAGGGGCTGCATTTATGGCCTAAAGGAGAAACCAAGCATAGGAACCCTTTTATTCTAAATTGGGATTACATTTCCCCCACATTCCAATTTCCTGCAGATTTCAAGATTCCCTTGGTTACTATCACATAAATACTTCAGGAGTTGGGGAGATAAAGAGGTCACCAAACCATACTTACTGAAAGTGCCCTCTTTTTCCAATTGTTTCAGTAAATTTTGGCAGACGTGCTTTGCTAATCGTTGCAGAGTTCCTGAGAGATTTTCATTCTGAGCTTGGAGGTAATTTTGCTGTGTGACAGCTAGATGTAAAAATTAGATAATAACAATTCATAATCAATATTTTAAAGACGATGCAAAGATCCTTCAGGGAAGTCTCATTTCGGTAGAATTACCAATAGAGAGAGTTTACCAGCTACACATGAGTAAATGAGTGCTGAAAAGGGGTAAGGGAGAAGGGGAATATAAAGAACAAAATAAATATGCAAAACTGACCCCAGAGGGTCATCCCCAATAGTAAGTGGTCTATTTGAAGGAGACAATCATAAATAAGAAAAGCCCAAGATCAAATAACATGCCCAAAGTGGTTGTTTTGACATTTCCTCGCATATGGATTTCTCAGCAGAGTTCATAAAAGTGAATGACTTCTGCTATTTTCTGTTCTTTGTGTAATGCCAAAATATTTATTCATTTAAGAATGCATATTAATTTCTTGTCATGCTTAAAGCTCTTGTGATATTCAGGTAAATAAAAGATGGTAAATGAAAGATTCTTAAATAGCTTATGAAAAATAATCAACTACACAGACATTTGGAGGGCCATGAGACTTGGAAGAAAAATAAAACCTAATTATTTCAGTAAACAAAATGGGAAGGAGAAAATTTTAGGTAAAGGGAATAAAATGAGCAAAATTTCAGACAAGATGACACAGGATTTATTTATGAAATTGAGAAAATTCCACTTTGGCTGGTTTTTAGGACATGTAACAGAGAGAGAGAAAAATGTTCAAAAAGCTAGTTTCCATCCATACTGAGGATGATTTTAAAAGCCAGTTTCAAATGCTTAAAAATAATTTTTAATGCATAAGAAAATTTTAAAAGTGATCTTAATCAGAAGGGAAAGGTCAGAGTTTTCCTTTATTGAGACTATCTTGACAACTATGTATAGAATGATTGGAATAGTGACAAATAGACAAATAGTGACAATGAAGAGGCTCAGTGGGAGACACCATGATTCATCAGTGTTGCCTTCCTCGATCAGAACTTTGGCACAGAGTCAATACTTACACATAATCCCCAGAGCCACCATGCCAACGACCATCCCCATGCACAAGATCAGCAGAATCAAAGCCACCGCACGCCACCAGGGGGAGGAAGCAGGCTCAACTGTAGGCATACAATAACCATGTCAAGGAGCAGGCAGTATGGCCTACCTCTGGAGCAGGGTCACCCCTGCCTCTGCCCTCTGGAGATTTTCCAGGTAATATAAACAGCTTCATTGGATTGGCAGATCTCACCTGTGCTCCCTTGGTGACCATCAGCAACAAGCACCACCCATTCCCATGCCACACGTCCATCCCTACTCCTAGAGGACTTTCCCTCTCCAAGCCAAAACGTAGCCAGCTGTTCAGGTCTGGTGTGTCTGTCTTTGTTTTGTTTTGTGCCCACTGCCATAAATAATGGAAAATCACACCATTTGCTGACATTAGAGTTTCCAAACATTCTCTCCCCTTATGTCTTTCCTTCTATTCCCCGCAGCATTCAACTCTAAGAGCCTTAATGTAATGTTCCCTGCTCATATATTTTATGTTTATATTCTGAACAAGTCTGTATGAGCCTTTGTAGACACTACTCAGATGCCATAGAGAAAGAACGTCATTCAGGAAAAAAATAAAATAAAACTGTATGTGTTATCACTAGTAGAGAAAGAGAATAAAGGATTGACCCATTTCACTAATTAATTTGCAATTACTGGCTCTGGGCATTCTTACCTGCGGTGAGAGCTGGCTTTCGAGTTTTAACATTTAAGGTGACGTATCCGTCTTCATCCTGCATGGCTTCCTTTGTACCACAAGAGAGCTCAGGGTTCAGTGACTTTACAGAATGTCGTGTCCACTCTTGCAGTTTCGATACGTGCCAGTGTGTGATCCTCCTCTCTCTAGCAGGATAGAACCGTGTGAGTTGAGAAACACGTTATTTTTGGTTTTTGTTTTCCAGGAAGCCCTTTTATAGCTGCTCAGAGATACACGAACCTTGAACACAAAAACACAAAAATAATAATAACTTGTGGTAAAGGAGTAGATAGGGCATTTGTTTCCTGTTTCCTTATCTTCAACTGTGAATAAAGGGATATTCCCTCGTGTGTATCCTTTTAAAGAACAAAAGTTTATGCTTCATCTTAACCCTAGCAGGGTCTAAATCATATTGTTCAAATGAAGTGATTTTTAATGAAAATTCATGTATAAAAAACACCATTGTGTTTATCTCATTGTGAGGGGTAAGGAGCAAGTGTAACAAAACTTGATCTGAGGTGCAGCTAAATTAGATGTTTCATGGTCTTGTGGTCTCCTAATTATGACCTAGAATTTATACAAATTCTTGTATCCTTTATAAGTCAGTTTGTCAAAAATTTGTGGGCTTCACGTAAGACAGGCCTCAAATTGCTGAGGTTTAGGCATTAAAGGAAGACAATTAAATGAAGTGAAATAATAGAGTTAGTGACTTTATGTATTGCCCTTCAGTAATGCTTGCGCTTTAAAGTGAATTCCCTGAAATGGACATATCTTAATTGGATAAAATCATTTAATTTCAAGCATAGTGGTGCTTAGATGAAGAACAATTTCAGGAAGAATGGTTTCCTACCGCCCTTTGTATCACAATACAATATGTACTCCACACATTTAACTTTATGAAATGCACTTTTAAACTACTATTTTAGCTGACATTGAAAGTTATAAGGACACTAATACAAAGCTAGCAGTTGTATTTATTGTAGGAATATTGGTGAGGAGATTGTCTATTTTGTCATTAGAGTAGCTGGTATGTAGTTTTATAACAGATATTTTTGTTAAACCTCCATGGCCAGTAAAGCTTCCCTTCTTCTGACTAACTAATAGGCGTTTATCTTATAAATGATCTTATTTTGATTTTTTTCTTCAGTTAATAAAATGTTAGACTTTTCAATATAGTAATTATGTGGGCTCCCAGAGCGGGTATTTCATTAACTAACTTGCCCTTTGGCATATCTTATACATACATTGTTCCTTCCTGCTATCTCCTTCATTCTAAATTCTTTGTCAATTCACTTAAAATAGTCTTCTGTTTAAAAATTTCTTTCCCTACACACCTCAAATTATTTTGAGAATGAGGAGAATAATAAACAAAGCAAACATGAAAGACAGTGCCTGATTTTAGAAACCTGAACTTAATGATTCAAATGTTTTTACCAAAAACCAACGCAGAATCAAAAATTTCACTTACTTCAAATAAGTGTCAAATTTAATAAAAGTACTAAAAATAAAAAAATCTTTAAATCTCCAAACCGTTTTTTCTTCCCAATGATCAGCTGGGTAAATTCAGACAGTTATTCCACCTTCATCTACTACCGCCTCTGTTCCTGAAACTTCTGTTTTAGCCAAAGGGGACTCCTCGTTCTTCCTTCAACTCTCAGCCTTTGCTGGGAGATTGGGGTTAGATTGCGGTTGGACTCTCCCTGTCTTCCTTTGCCCACATCTACTCATCGTCAAGTCCTGAGGCTTATTTTCTCACCATAGCCCCTCTCTTTTATGTTCTTTTTGTCACTGCTCTACGTTAGTATATTTTTCCTAAAATATACAGAAACAATGAAACATATTGAATAAATAATGGTGATAAAGTAACAGAGAGAAAAGAAAACGGATGTAGAGGTTATAGTTCACCTTTTCTATAAAGCTTTACTGTTTCTCTTAATAACCAAATAGGTAAAAATTAAAATTAAATCAGCTGAAAATTAAATCAGCTAAATTAAATCAGATATGTAAAGGTGCCATCCAAGGATATTTAGAAATTTCTTTAATTGTCGTAACTGTTTTCTTGCTCAATTAACACAGACTTTAAGAAGGGTTTAAACATAAAAATTAGCTTGTTTTGTTGAGGTTTCCACATTCTCTAGGTCTTGGGCAATTGATTTAATCGTAAAAAAGTGTCCCCTTTATTCTTGTAAACCACCAGGAATATGCCAGGCTGTCGTTGATTCTTTAATGCTTGGAACTGTGTATTTAACACCAGGCAAATCTGAAACAGGGAGCACAGTTTCAGATGATTTTCCTTTTCTATATCTGGATTTTCCTTGGGTTCCTGCCTCCTTCTCATTGTAATTTATTGTTGCTTTTTGGACCTTTGATAACTCCAGATACAGTTGAAGGTCTTATGTCTACATCTACGACCCACAAAATAAATATTTGCCTTTATTTGTATCCGCCAAATGTGACTTTGCTGTGGTAGAAACATGCTATGTGAATACGGAGACTCTCAGGATCAAAGGAGCCCCTGACACCATTTAATCTTAATTTTTCTCTCTCTCTCCACATACCCTATAAATATAAGCTGAGTTACTCGGCAAAACTGAAGCAGAGAACTGCAGGACGAACATCTGAATAAAGATCTGGAATTTTTAATAAGTATGGTGTGATTGAGGAAAGCACATTTGAACTGAGGATTCATGTCACAATATATTAAGATACGAGGTGTTGTATTTTCCTGTTAAAATCACTATAAAACTTCATGGCAGGCACAATTCATTACTCGATTATTTAAACATATATTTATTGATCCCTGTGCATGTCCCAAGCATGATTCCATTTTCTGGGGATCAAGTGGTAAATGAAACACACAAGAGTTGTGCTGTTCTCGAGCTTATTACATTATAGTAGAGGGTGCTGAACACAGATAGTAAAGAAGTGTAGAAAGCAAAGGGCAAGATAATTTCACACCATAATAACTACTATAAAGGAAGGAAAATGATGTAATAGAGCTGGACTGGACAGGCTTGGTGTAGCCCCTGGTGGTGCTTGTTTGGATTGGTTTGTTTAACCTTCATAACAAGTGCTTAGACAACTGCATGGGTTTCTTCCATTTTTAAGATAATTCAGAATAATTCAAACTGCGCTATAGTAACGTGACAGCTGTCATTTATTGCTGCTTCTATATGCTTTTATAAATTGTCTTTTTGGTATGTACTATATTTATGCCAATTTTATTAATAAGAAAAATAAAGCACAGGGGTTCGGTAACTTGCCAAAAGTCACGGGCAAGTAAGTGTTGATTCAGAATTTGAATCAATCAATCTGTCTTCACAGCCCTTTCTTTTAATCAGTATATTTTATTATCCGGATCAGGTATACTCACCTGATTAGGTGAATACACATTTCAAAATAAATTCTATCCTCTATTCACATCCTCTGTCTCCTCCTTGTGGCCATTTATTTTCATTCTGCTTTTAGTTTATTTTGTTTTCTTTTAGTCTTCGATAACTCTGACTTTAATCTTTGCCTTTACCTATTGTTTCTTTGGTAAACAATTCTGAATTAATTCCCATTCTGGCCATTCTCTGGGTACTATTCGATTAGGGCCCCTATTTTAGTCATACTATGTGGGAATGGAATGATTGTTGAAGAACAGTGTGAGAATAAAACCTCCTGTCATGTAAACTCAGTATTTCTTTTAACGTATTCTAAATCAATAACACTTTCATATTTAATACCTGTGTTCCCTTATTTTCCACAGTGAACAGTATTTTCTGCTGGATTTTTATTACTGTGAGAACAGCAAGAAAAGTCAAAGGTGAATGCAAGTTTTGGGCTGAGTATCTGTAGATACGGAGTTTTCATTTATTAGATGGGGAAACACATTGGGAAGGGTTACTCATTTTTATGATATAAGTTTGATAATTCTATAAAGTATCTAAGTAAATATGCCAAGAATCCGTTCAGATATATGATCCTGGAGATTGAGCACTGACATGGAGATATTAGTACAAACTTGGACATCACTGATATATGGCTGTTACATCAAGCCATGAGTGTACAAGAGCTCAATAGCTCCTGTGGGGATGAATAAAACAGAAAAAGGAAGGCAAAGAGCTGAACTCTGGGACCCAACATTTTGCATTCAGTTAAAGAGGAATTAGTGAATCTGACGGAGGATTGGGTAGTGAGTGAAGTGACAGGAAAACCAAGGAAATTGTGTCCTGGGGAACACAGTATTTTGGAGAAGAAAGTATTTTATGAAAAAGTAATAATCTGTTATGTCAAGTGATGCTTATAGGATAAGATGAATCTTGAGAAATAGCCATTGAATGTTACTTAACGTGGAGGTTAATATGGACGTTAATGATGATATTGACAGGAGCGTTTCTATAGAAATAGGGAAAAAACCTAATTAGAGTGGGTTCATAAAAAGTAGGAGGATATATCAGGCATAAACAGCTTTTTGAACTCTTTTATTGTTAAGAAAATTAGAGAAATTGGAGTGATCATGTGTGTCCGTGTGAGGGTAAGTGGTAAACAAGAGATTTTTTTGCTTGTTTTTAAAACGGGAGGTATTATATCATATTTGTAGGTTACAGTGAGTGAAGTAGTAAAGATTAAAAAAAAAATAGAAAAATGGATGATGCCAGACAGAGCAAGAGACAGAAAATTACAAGTTCAAAGTCTTTGAGTAGGTATATGGAATGGATTTCAATGTACAGATAGAGATTGATCGGAGATAAGAGGTGGTGCAGCTTAACCATTGTTGAAAGGGATACTACCTTACGCGCAGATGTAGATGGTTTTGTATATTTAGTTGGTGGAACAGAGAAAACTCCCTACTGACTTGTTTCTGTTTGCTCATGGTAATAAGCAGTCAGGTCATCAGTTGAGTTTGAGGAAAGAGAAAAGAAATTTGAGAGTTGAGAAAGAAAGATGGGTGGGGAATAATCTAAAAGTTGGCAGAATAGATTGATTAGTAAGAGTACTGGGAAGTTATAATTAAAAAATATAAAATAAGACCAATTAATAGGGTCACATTCAGTAGTAGGCAAGTGTAGAGCAGGTGGAGTTGGATTTTACCAAGCTGTGTTTCCCAGATGCTTATGATGAGTGAAGAGATAAGCAAGGAAGTTGTAGGAGTTTGTAGGGAAATGAGTATTATATTGAT